CAAGGAGACCCAGCAGGGTCACTGACTCTGTCCACTGGGAGGGGGGTGGGTCCTGACCCTGGGCTCTGCAGGCAGTTCTGAGCAAACAGTTGGCGATGAGGGTTGGAGGGGCAGGGGGCCAGTCCCAGCGCTGCTGGACCCTGCAAGTTGGGTCAGAGCACCACCAGCCCTCAGTGGGGGCCTCTCTGTCTCACCCCCAGGTTCTGGGGCCCACGCTAGCTTGGGTGCCTCCTTTCTGCCTGTGCCTCGGGACCCCCTGTCCCAAGGGATGTGGAATTGGCGCCTGAGCACCCCACCGGCCACACCCAGCTCCCACCAGTTGCCTGTGTGGCAGCTAGCCCTCAGGGGTCCCAAGGATGACACCCCCCCCATGGTCCCCATGCTGGACCCCTGGGCTTGGCGTCCTGCCACCCTCTGGGGCCCCTTGTCCCTAGCACAGCACTGTCCTCATTTATTGACAGCTGCTCCCCACCCCTACCCCCGAACAGGCCAAACTCGTTGCCCAGCGATGAACCTGGCCGGCAGAGGGCAGGTTGGGTCAATGATTAAGGAAGCGAAAGTTGCCGACAGCTGAGGAGGAAGGAGTGAGCAAAACGCAGGAAGGAGTCAGCAAAACGCAGGAAAGAGTCAGCAAAACGCAGGAAGGAGTCAGCAAAACTTGGCCAGCTGGGAGGAGTGTGCTGGCGATGGACGTGGCCGCAGGACAGCGCCACTCTCAGAACTCTCGGCTTTGACCACAGAGCCCGGGCGAAGCCACCCACGTTGTCCTCATGGCCCGGGTGAGCTGCTTGCCTGGGGGGCTGAGAGGAGCCCACTGGGAGACAGGCCATTGCAGGTGCTCAGGCACAGCTGTGGGGGTCAGGCTGCTGCTGTGGGTGTTGGGGTGCTGGACTCAAAGCCACACCATGGACCACAGAATGAATACGCGCGCGCGCGTCCTGGACCATCCATCCCAGTCTTCTTGTTGGCCGCCACTGTAGCGGGCATCTCTTGATGAGGAGGGCCCCCCCCCACTCCTCCCCCCAGCACGTGCAGGGCCTGGAGAAGGAGCCAGACAGGGCTTGGCTCTGCCCTCCAAAGGGCCTTCTCGGAACCTCGGTGGGCAGTGGACATAGAGCGGCCATTCTCGGCCTTGCAGTGGCCCTGTGTGGTAGGGAGGGCTGCCCCATGGCCCTGGGGCACAGTGAGCTCAGGCAGGTGGTCTGAGAAATGACAGCCCTGGATGTTGAAGTGGCTCACACGAGGCCTCGGGTGGCCCCCACCCCCACCCCCACCCCCGTCCCCAAGGCTGGTCTGCAGAAGGTGAGGGCGTCGTCCTTGTGCCCAGAGAAGCTGGGGACAGGGACCAAGCACCCTGCAAGTCTGTCCCCAGAGGCCAGCAGGTGCTTAGCAGCTTGTCAAAGGGCACCAATGAGATCTCTGTGGCCCCCACCTGCCTGCCACCCGCACACCCTGGGAGGGTGAGCTGGACACCCGGGTCTGGCGCCCCAGCCTTCTGAAGGAGGGGCCCTTGCCGGGGCATCGCTGTCGGTGGCAGTTACCCTGCCCTGCCCGTCCTGGAGGTCTGAAGCAGGGACATGTGCGCCACCGCCAATGGGCGGGAGGCCCAGGGGCAGGCCGGGCCCTCTGACCCCCGGCAGGATCAGCGGCCCCTCCCCAGAGGCCCGCCCCCGGCCCGCCCCGGCCCGCCCCGCCAGCCTTATCCCGCCGCTGCTGCGCTCGGAGCTCAGAGTTTGGCAGGTTTTTCTCTGTCCCGGCATCCCGGCATCCCGGCATCCCGGCATGGCGCGTGCAGCGGGCTCTGAGAGGCGGCTTTTGGTGGTCTACACCGGTGGCACCATTGGCATGCGGAAAGAGAATGGCGGTGAGTCCGGCCGCACCGCCCACCACGGTGACACGCCTCCCTTCCGCCCTAAGCGGAGCCCCTGTCCTCGGAGATAACGGCCCTGTTGGGGCTGTCCGTGCCCAGGGGGCTTCCCAGGGGTGCACTGGAAAGTCAGAGGAGGGGCTCGTTTTTCCCAACCCGGAGTCGTGGTACCCTGGAGTCGTGGTGCCCTGGGGGTTGCCAGCATCGTTGAGATTAGAAGGTTCCAACTTCACCCAGCCCCCACCCACTCCTAGAATTTCCCCTGGGGGTCCTGGCTACCTGTCTGCTGAGACCGCCACCCCCAACTTGGGGGACCTGGAAGCTCTTGCCCCAAGGGCAAGAAGGGGCTTTCTGGGCCCCAGCGTTGTTTTCTTTGCCTCACAGGAGTTGGTCTAGCTGGGGAGTGGGTGGTGGGGGTGGACCAAGAGTGGACAAGGACCCGGCTGGGCACAGCCCACCCACCCCCAGTAGAGGCAAGTGTCCGGCATCCAGGTGATGCTGCTGAACCTCCATGACCACAGGTGGTGGCTTGGAAGAATAGATTTACCTTCTCACAGCTCCTAATCAAAGGAAGCCCCTTATCAAGGACATTCCAATCGACTGGGACCATGTAGGACAGTAGAACTGCCCCCTGGGGTTTATACCGGAACAGAGAGCCGCTGGTGGGTTCAAAACTGACCTACCTCTAGGTGAGCAGCCAAGCGCTGCACCACCAGGGCATCAGGGCTTGAGTCGGATGCCAGTGTTCATGGCTAGCTTCCAGGGGAGGCAGTGGTCTCTGGCCCGTCACCTTCGGGGCAGGTGTGCCTCTCAGCTGCCCTACTGCTCGCAACTCTCCATCTGTGTCTGTAGGAGCACGACACAGAGGTCAAAGCGTGCTGCTGCTGACCACCGACGGGTGGTGCAGACCCACTGGGTGCTCCTCAGGACAAAGGTGGCAATCTGCTCCCAGAAGCCGATAGCCTCGGCGTTTCTCCTCTGTGCCGTGGGGTCACCCTGTGTTGGGCTCAGCAGCAGTCGGAGTTGTTTGCACCCGAGCTGCTCCTGGGATAACTCAGGACTCACCGCTGTGGCCTCGTCCACCAGGCAAAGAAAGCCTCATTCCATCTGGGCTCTGCCTGGCAGGCCTGCCATTACCTGGTGTCCTAAAGCTGATGCTGGCTCACAGCGGCCCGAAAGGACAGGCTAGGCCTGCCCCACAGAGAGTTCTAGGCTGTTTTTACCCAGGTGCTCACATTGAACCAATAAGCATCCCCATCCCCGTGGTGAAGGGAGGAGAGAGTGGACTTGTTCAGGGTTTCAGTGCACAGTTGTTGCCATGGGGACTGCGGTCAAAGAACCAAATCTTAACTCCACGGTCAGTTGATTCAAGATGGCCATTTCTACTTTTCTTAAATACAAAGCAACCAACCATCTAGCCTTTTGGGTCAAAGTTTTGCTGCTTGGAAAACAGGTATCACATGGCGGGATTGCCAATCTAGGTCGACTCGCTGGGTTCTGTCAATGTTTGGCCCCACCTCCCCTGGCGGGGTGGATAGAAAGTAGATCTGATAAATTGAATGAAGTTGGGATTTGCAAACAGCGTTGTAGCCCAGACAGGTGAACACTGCATCTTAGTCTGCCTCCTGATGACGTTTTCCTACACTGGGCTTTTCTGCCGGGTTTCTAGCCTGTTGTCAATTTGTAACTAAAGCCGAGACTAGGTTCCTGAAGACAAGGACAGATTGCAAGTACATCCAAACCAGCCCTGACAAAATGCTTTTTACAACAACTCTCCGATGTAGCCACCTCAAATCAGCTTACTGACGCAAAGAACAGGTTTAAGCCTACAGTTTAGCGGACCCTTGGGTTTTATGGAAGACTGGCGGTGCGGTGGTTAAGCATTGGGCTGCCATCCACAAGGTGGGACTTTAGAAACGCCAGCTCCCAGGGGCAGTTCTGTAGGGTCACTTTGAGGAGTTGTCACCATGCTTCCTCCCACTGCCCTGAATGCCTGGAAGCACAGACCCCACCCCCACCCCCACGCCCCGGTTCCTGTTCTCTCTGCAGTTGGGAACACCGTGGAATCTAGTCTGGGTGTCTGCATGGGTCCCCTGCCCCCTGTGTCCCTTCAGGAAGTCTCGCTTCAATTTTCCGTGCTGTGGTGTGGGGGGCAGTGAGCATAGCACATTGCCTTCCCACTCAGCCCCCATGCAGGCTTCGGTTCCTGGTGTTGACTGCAGTCCCCAACAATGCCACAGCCTCTTCCCACTTGCCCCTCCGTGCCGGCTGGCTCCCATTCACCCTTCTCTTCTGCCCCTCCTGCCTCTGAGCGGCCTCCTCCCTGCAGACCAGATCTGACCGGCCCATGGCTCTCAGGAGTGTGACCGTCCTTGTCGTCTGTTGATTGTTCTGCTGAAAACTGAACCCGGGAGTGAGTTTAGTTCCACACCTGAAGGGCAACTAAAGGGCCTGCGGAGCCTGTTTCTGGATTTTGCGAAGCTTTGGAGTCTCATTCCTCCATCTTTTCCTCTGTGCTGTGCAGGACGTCCACCGTGATCCCACAGCAGGGCACCATTGTGGGGCTCCATCTAAACCAGCGGCTCTCAACCTGTGGGTCGAAATCCCTTTGGGAGTCAAACGACCCTTTCACAGGGCGGCCCGATTCCTAACAGTAGCAAAATAACAGTGATGAAGTAGCAATAAAAACAATCTTATGGTTGGGGGGGTATCACCCCAACATGAGGAACTGTACGAAAGGGCCGTGGCATTGGGAAGGTTGAGAACCACTGTACTAGATCTTCCCGTCTCCAAGCCCTGTTTCAATCCCCAGCAAAGCATCCGGCTAGTATTTTCACTAAGGCATTTCTTGGAGACCACAAAACCAACCAACCAAACTCCCTGCCACTGAGTCGAGATCCCTAAAGGATGGACACCTGGGGCATCCGGGAAAGGGAGGATAGCCCCACCCCTGTAGACCTGCTGGGCCTTCCTGCTCCCCTGCAGGCCTCTTGGGCTGAGTCTGCACCGTTTGCACAAGAATGGGACTTCCAGAGAGCTGGAGCAAGAAACTTCCTGGTCCCAAGAAGCTGAGGGCTGCGACCTTTGTCTGAGGGCTTCTGAGCTAACCTCGTGCGTCCTCTGGAACTGGGTCAAGTGGCAGCCGGAGCCATGGCCAAGTCCTGAGAGTTTCTGAAAGGCCTGGGCTCCTCCTGTGGGGGTGGGGGGTGGGGTGGGGGTGCGACAGGGCCCTAAGGCGTCTTTTGTTTTTGTTTCCTGCTTGTGGCATGAAACCTCTAACGCACAGCCCCGGTGGCAGTGTGAGCTCTGTGGGCTCTGAGCTGGGCTGATGACAGGTAGGCCTGTTCAGATCTCACAGGTGCATGATGAGCCTGTCCTTTCTGGTCGAGACTGCCAGTCTCAAATGCATGGGGCTTGTGTGGGACTGAGACCAGGTAACCTCTCTGTGCAGCCCCTGTCCTGAGCAGAATGAACCACGTCAGGGCAGAGCCACTCTGAGTTAACAGGAAAGAGGTCAAACACTGAGCCCTGCGTCTGCACGCCCCTCGCCGCAGCCCCTCTGTGGCCAGCTGGACCACCGCGGCCCCCACTGACACCCACTCCTCCCCCGACAGCTGCCTTCCTCGGCCCCTCCTCTCTTCCCACCTGAAAGCTCCCTGCTTGAGTGTCTTCTTATCCCTAATAGGGAAGTTGTTAAAGATTCAAAACCCAAAGTAGAAAGTCCAAGAAGAAACAAGCCAAGGAGCAGGAAGTCTGAATGGACAAGAATGGGGCTGAGAGAGTTCAGGGCCGCCCCTGAGACCCCACTTAAGACCTGACCCTGGAGTCTGGAGTGGCCAGAGTGTAAAGACGACTGAGGCTCAGGATGAGAACAAAGTCAAGATGGAGTAGATGCCATCAGAGACAGGGACTCAGAGAGAGCCCCTGGGCAAAATCCCTTAGTCTAGCAGGTAGCCCAGGGAGATCTCGGCCCTGTTTGGGGTCTGGGATTTTTAAATGAAAGTGGGGAAAGGGGGTCATGCTGGCAGGGGAAGGTTTATGGTCAGGATGCCAGCAGTGAGGTTTATGACCTAGGGGGTCAGAGGTAAGGTTTATGGCCCACAATGCAGTTTATCAGTTCTGGCAGGTTGGCTGTCCAGTTATCAGGGAGTCAGGCATCCCATTTCTCCATCTCCTCATTCCAGGGGGCAATTGCTGACCTCCAGGGATGTGTAAGGAAGTGGGGACCCAGCCGGATTTAGCTGAACCCAGTCAGATCTGATTGCTTCTTGTTGGCACGGGATGACGGGGAAGGGGCTGTTTGCTGGAATGGTCCAGACCAGCATCAGGAGGCAGGGGACTGTAAGGATGTAACAAGAATTGGTTAGCAGCTAGATTAGGTATGTTTCTTATTCATTCTGGAAGGAACTTAAAGAGACAGGGGGCTAAAAGTAACAGCAAACAAATTATTACCAAGGGTCCCACTAGGGGCATGAGCCAGAACCTGACAGGATTTTGGAGCTAGGGGGTGGTGGCTGCGTTGCCCCAGTGGTGGCTCTTGGTTTCCTCGGCCATGGTTTTTAGCACATTTTGCTCCACCGCTCCTGACTCATTAATGTGGTAGCAACACCCCTCTCCTAGAAACATGAATGTACCTCTTTGTCCGCGGTTAACAAGTGCAGGGCTCGCGGTTTTGAAGGGTTACCTGTGCCAGCGATGTAAGCTGCCTTTGTAGGGATGTAAGGGAGTCAGAGGTGGAACCCATTACCAGTTGAATTTTTTGGTTAAAAGTTTGAGATTGTTTGTCCCATGGTCCCACCAGAAACTCCTGCTGCAGCCGAAGAGGAGGCGAGGCTACTGCCTACTAGGACCTGTAGGAATACTGCTCGCTTGGTCTGAGGGCTTGGACGAGCGTGCAGGTCCCAAGGCCACTTGAATTCTGCCTGCCCTTACATCCTGAGTTGAGGGACTACGGTGACTGGGAGGCACGGGTATGGCTAGAGGCATTGAGGCACTTC